AACAAGACCATATAACCTGCTACCTGTAACATACTCACCCCTCCGCCGGTTCCGGCATCTCCAGGAGCTCCGTCGGAGTTCCAGTGACGTCACGGAGGTTGACGTTGCCGGGCTCCTCCCTCTTACTCTCCTTAAGCCGACATAACCACTTGCCTGGCGTTCGTGCAAGGTGTCTGATGCCAGGCAAGTACCTCCGCGGCAGATCTGACAGGACCTAGCTATTGGGCCGGACAGAGCTCCCTCCTCAGCGGCCATCCACGCCACTCGCCTTTCCTCAGTTAGAAAACGGTGAAGATGGCGAGCGCACAACAGGTTGGGAAATTTATGAGCAGGTTTAGGCGAGCAAGCTACTTGACCAGGGAGAGGAACCCTGTAAACAGTTAAAAAAGAGACAAAAAAGGAGCGCTACAACCCTAGGATTCAATTAAAATCTTAAGCAGTGTAAAATCTCTAATTAAATGACTATGCATGCAAACTCACTATTGGACGGACGAGGTGGTGTCTTGCCAATGAAGAGTGAGAGCTGTTGTCAGCAAGGAACGCAAGGAGGCATATGTGGCTGGTCCGTGTGGGTGTAATCACGGATTTCACGGCTCCTGTTTGGTCCCTTGGTGCTGGGGGATGGTGAGTGCAAATGAAGGGCATGGTAAGAAAGGATGAACTGTGCGTTAATACTCCGCTCCCCGTCAGGTGCAGTGAGAGCTCAGCTGGCCAGGCTGCCACTCGTCGGCTGAACGGGAGCCGGAGAGCCGCTGTGTAGCGGTGTGACAATGGGTCAGCGGTCGTTGTAAAAGAACGTCCAGGAGCGGGCACAGGGCTGGAGGATAGTGTAGCCCGTCTAGCTGGGTGGTGGCTGGATGGTTTGGCTACGCGTTTCGAGGCTCTATGCCTCTTTGTCAAACCAGAGATAACTTCTTAGAACGGGCGGGAGATGCAGAGGTTTTTAAAATTTGACAGGTGGGCGGGACTTTCGGTCGTGGGCGGCTGCTATTGGCCGATTTTGCAGGGAAGGTTGGTCATGGCTGCTGATAAACGGCATTGAAGCCGCTTGTTTGTTAACAAAGGGGGGATCGTGAGTACACGATTGAGAAATGTTAAAAAGAGTTTAATAAGAGCAATTATGACGATACAATGTCTCGAGTACAGGCACTATCTTTATTTCAACTGCTACATGGTCATATTTGTTCTTTCATGTGGACTGTATATTTAAAAGATTATAAAAGTAAGGTTAAAAAACTATGTTTTAAAATAATTTTTGTGGACGCATGTTGTATACATTATCCTTTTTTGTTTATTTCTACACCGTTTTTTTATTTTTTCGTTTGTTCAAAAGAACTCCTGTATGGTGTATATGTGTGGGACCCAGGATGTGGTTAATTCAGAATTTACAGATAAAGGGAGGAACATGCTAAATCGTCATCTTGGACAAGTAATCATTGATTATGACGATATATTATCTCGAGTGCTGACACTATCTTTGTATCTACTACTACATGGTCACATTAATTCTTTCGTGTGAAATGTATATTAAAAAAATTATAAAAGCAAGATTAAAGAGCTTTGTTTTTAAACAATTTTAGTAGACGCATGTTGTATACAATTTCCTTACTTGTTTCTACACTGTTATGTTAGAAGGTTGTTTATTCGTTTGTTCAAAGAACCTCATGTTCTGTGTATATATGTGGGACCCAGGGTGTGATTAGTTCGGAATTTATAGAATGGTTTGTATTTCTAAATCTTCGTTAAGTCCAGTAGGTACTAGGGTGTTCAGTCTATAAATCCAAAATGTCTCCCTATTGCATAGGAGTCGAAAGGGTTCAGAGGGTGCTAGGTGAATAGGTATGTGTTCAATGGCAAACACATGCAGGGCGTGAATATTTTTCTGATGTTTTGCTGTAAAATGCCATGGGATACTGTGTTCAATGTCTCCTTTTTCTATGAAACGTCTGTGTTCCCCGATACGTTTACGTAATGGCCGTATAGTGCCTCCGACATACATCAGGCCGCAGTGGCATGTTAATCCATATACTACATGGTCATGTGTACATGTAATGAATTGTTTTGTGTTATAGATGTTATTGCTATGGTCTCTGAATGTTGTTTGACCATGATGAATAAATTGACAGGTGAGACACTTTGGTTTTTTGCACCGAAATGTCCCAACCCTGTTGTCAAACAGGAAGTTTTTTATGTTTGTTTTTGGTTCCTTAAGTAGTTTGCTAGGTGCAATTATATTCTTAATATTTTTATTTTTCTTAAAATTGATATAAGGTCTGGTTGGTAAAAGGGGACCTAGTTTTGGATCCTTTAATATGATATGCCAGTTTTTTCGAAGAACTTTTTCGATGACCTTATAGCTTTTGTTATATGTGGTGATGAACCTCACTTGGTTGTTCTTAACTAGAGATTGGTCGTGATCGGCAGTTTTAGGTGTAACTGTTTGCAAATAGGTTGAGAACGCATTCGTGATCAATTCGTCGGGGTATTCTTTCTCCTTGAATTTTTTTTGTGAGAAGGAGACTAGAAGCAGTGTAGTCTGATTTGTCGGTGCAATTTCTGCTGAGTCGACAAAACTGGCTTTTAGGTATATTGTTTTTCCACCGGGGGTGGTGGCAACTGTGGTAGTGGAGGTATGAATTGCCCCCTGTGGGTTTTGTATGATTTTTTGTAATGATCTGGTTGTTTTTGGTAGTGAGTTCGAGATCTAGGAAGACTAATTCGTTAGTGCTGACGACATGGGTAAAGGATAGGCCTAACTTGTTGTTATTGCAATGATGAACAAATTCTAATACGTTTTCTGGTGCACCATCCCAGATGATGACTATGTCATCTATATAGCTCCCATAGAAGACTAGATGTTGGGCATAGGGGTTGTTTTTCCATATGTGGTGGTCTTCCCAGTAACCCATGGTGAGATTGGCATAACTGGGTGCATAATTAGTGCCTATGGCTGTCCCGTTAGTTTTGCAGATAGAATTTGTCAAGAACGGAAAAATAGTTAGGGACCCACACGGACCAGCCACATATGCCTCCTTGCGTTCCTTGCTGACAACAGCTCTCACTCTTCATCGGCAAGACACCACCTCGTCCGTCCAAAAGTGAGTTTGCATCCATAGTCATTTAATTAGAGATTTTACACTGCTTAAGATTTTAATTGTTGAAATACAAGAACCCAAGAGCAGTTAGGATGTCTCCACCAGAGGTTCCACCCAGATCCACCGGGTGGCAGCAGAGGAACATTAGATCACAAACTGCAAGTATCTCATCTAATGCAACAAGCTGTCCATTGAACTGTGTTTGCTGCTCACTTTATCAGCTGTCCATTGAACTGTGTTTTCTGCTCACATAACCAGCTGTCTATTGAACTGTGTTTTCTGTTCACTTTATCAGCTGTCCATTGAACTGTGTTTGCTGCTCACTTTATCAGCTGTCTATTGAACTGTGTTTTCTGTTCACTTTATCAGCTGTCCATCGAACTGTGTTTTCTGCTCACTTTATCAGCCGTCCATTAAACTGTGTTTTCTGCTCACTTTATCAGCTGTCCATTAAACTGTGTTTTCTGCCCACATAACCAGCTGTCTATTGAACTGTGTTTTCTGCTCACTTTATCAGCTGTCCATCGAACTGTGTTTTCTGCTCACTTTATCAGCTGTCCATCGAACTGTGTTTTCTGCTCACTTTATCAGCTGTCCATTGAACTGTGTTTTCTGCTCACTTTATCAGCTGTCCATTGAACTGTGTTTTCTGCTCACATAACCAGCTGTCTATTGAACTGTGTTTTCTGTTCACTTTATCAGCTGTCCATTGAACTGTGTTTGCTGCTCACTTTATCAGCTGTCTATTGAACTGTGTTTTCTGTTCACTTTATCAGCTGTCCATCGAACTGTGTTTTCTGCTCACTTTATCAGCCGTCCATTAAACTGTGTTTTCTGCTCACTTTATCAGCTGTCCATTAAACTGTGTTTTCTGCCCACATAACCAGCTGTCTATTGAACTGTGTTTTCTGCTCACTTTATCAGCTGTCCATCGAACTGTGTTTTCTGCCCACATAACCAGCTGTCTATTGAACTGTGTTTACTGCTCACTTTATCAGCTGTCCATTGAACTGTGTTTGCTGCTCACTTTATCAGCTGTCCATTGAACTGTGTTTGCTGCCAACTCCATCAGTTATTGTGCTGAACCCCTGCACTTAGTTGTTAACTCACCTACACAATGCATTACATGTGTTATCTGAAGCTGAGATCCAATCCAACTTAGACCAGCCACATTGGAACGTTACACTACCTAGCAATGTGGATTTTTTGAGTGGAGCACTACCACTGGCCAATGGGAGCAGAGGTGGTATTGTTTCCAGAGCAGGGCCTGCTATCTGGCAAAGGACATACAACCAGGGCAGAAGATAGTGGCTGCCCTGCATGTTCACTACTCCTAACAATACCCAACCTCTGAAGAGGTGCATATGATCTTTTGGGACTACCTTGTCAGGATGAAGATGATGGAAAGGGAAGGAAGATGAACTGCAGAGTGTTACTGGGAGGCAGAGCAGGGTGACAAGCAAGCTTTAGTCTTTTAAAAATGTGAGAGGTGGTTTAACAGCACTGGTGGTATCAGGAATATCCAAGGGAATGTCAGGAAAGGAACAAAATGTAGAAGGGAAGCCATAGATACAGGAGAAACGGTAGTGTGTAATGTTTAAGAATGAGACCAGTTATGGGCAATCTCAGCCACAGCAGAGCTGAGCTCATACAGCTGGCTGTTGGCTGCTATATGTTAACAGCACAGAGCCATGCTGCAGCCAGGTTGACAGCTGGCCTGCCCCCTTCCTTTTCTGTCCCTCCAGGCAGTGCTGGAGGCACACAGAGGGGTAGTGGGAATCCCTTTGGGGAGCAGTGACTGACAGTCACTGCTCTCTGCAGGGAGAATATCATGAAGTGAGTGATCAGCAGTATAATAGAGCCGACATGTGACAGCTGCAGTGTCCCAATTTGGATCTAACTAAGGGAATGAGTGTATTTCACTCATCCCCTAGTTCTTCTTTGAAGCCTGCCTTGTCTCTCCCCATTAAAAAGGCAGCCTAGTAAAATTACTTAAATAGTGCACATGGAGTCAGTAAACTATTTTGCTTACTTTATGTCATTTTTTTATATTAAATTTGCTAGGTGTCTCTCCGGTTGAATATGTGCCAGGTGTTTTTTTTTAAATTACTGTGTATAGACAGAGTACAATGTTTATCTGTGAAATAAACACACTATATA